AGCTTCCTCTGACTGGAGCAGCCAACCATTATCTATCCGCTCTCTAACTTTGCTGCCTCTTTTTAATAATGCCTCTGTTTCTGAGCATAGGTTATGGACCTTTGATTTGTCCATTTGTCATCTCCAATTATAATATTTACAGCTAATAATTCCTGTAAATTATGATTCACTATATATTCACAACAGTCATTGTGTGTGTGTTTTGGCATATGTTTGTCTTGAATTGTTATTCATTATCTGCTTTACTTTTTATCTGTTATTTGGTGCAACTTTGACTACCCCCTCAAAAACAACATGTTTCATCTCTAGGGATGGAAGAAAAAAAATATATATATATTGTACCCCTTAATCCATTTCTGGGGGTGTCCAGAGATGCCACCCAGTACACATTGCATCAGCCCCTCTCTGATCCCTCCTGCAGGTGGTGAGTCCACAGGAGGACGGCTGCTCTATGGCCTAGCCTTGGTCTTTCAGCAGGGGCTTCAGGCAAAATGGGTCCAAGGACACAACAACAGCAGACTAGTGGGTGTCAGTGGAGAAGGTCTCGTAATGGGCTCAAACCCACAACCTTCAGGCTCAAAGGCTGATGCTTTACCAACTGAGCCACTGTCGCCCCAAATTGACAATATTTCCATAAAAACATTTTACAGTGACGCACAAGTCCCGATCCTCAAAAATTATGTCAACATATTGTTTTAAATTCCACTAGCAAATATAAAATACTGTTATAAGTAAAGGAGTTTGACAGCATGCTCAACCCTGTTCTGCCCATTTCCACTGTAGAGTCGCTGCCTTTCAGAAACATTTGATGCAACATACAAACTTGTAAACTATCTGGAGATGTAAACTATCCGGAGATAGTTTACAAGTTGGATTACTTACAAATTTGTAAACTATCTGGAGAAGTGCTACAGCAAGAACTGTCCTGGCTACTATAATCATGTGACATTTGAGCCCGAGTAGAACAACTCATTTGTAGTTCCCTTACTTCTGTTCTCGTTTTTGGGACACGTAATCCAAAAGTAATGTAACTTAATTACTTTCTTGGGGCAGTAACTAGGTGTTGCAACTAATTACTTTTTAGAAGTAACTAGTAATTTGTAACTCGTTACTTACCCAACATTGGTCTTAAGATACAATTGTAAGTAATGATACAAGCAGCTTGAAGCATTATTATCTTCTTTAGATTTAGGTGCATTCATTCATGTAATAAAAGTTTGTAAGTTTCGTAAGTGACTGACGACACTGCTCATCATGAGTCATATTTCCTCGGGCACTTTTTGGTGTTTATCCGCATCAAAATATTCTTTTCTCACAATCACATAGCAATAAAAAGTTTTCCAGGACAAAGTGGAAGATTTTGTGTTACTCACGACTGATTTTCACTTGGACAGACACTGTAAATAGACGAATAAACCATATGTAATCGGTGTATAAGAATTATTATTTGAACTTTTGCCTAATCTTGTCATGTTACTACCAATTTTTTTTTCTGAGAGTCCATATTTACGTCACCAACAACTGTGAAGTGAAAGAAAAATGATACAATATGATAGCCCTTTTCCAGCAAACAAAGCAGCAATCCTTTGGGGTTTGAAAAATAGATGCTTTGCACATCTAGAGACTGAAAGTTTTGTATTACAAAACCATTTCTGTCCAATTAGATGCATAGATTTCCCTTGGATTTAGGTCTGGGCTTTGATTGGGTTATTCTAACACATGAATAATAAGTTTCATATTATCACTCTTGCTTCAAATGTCCTTGCTCCATTCCATAAACTCGCACACTCTTCTCTAAAAAGGCTAAAAAATTCAATTATGGTCTCAATACCACTGCACCTTCTTCCACGTGTTGAATGTGTGCCCCTCTTGCATCATGGAACTACTTATATTTTGCACCTGTCCATAAGAGCCTCATTTGTGCAGTGTTAAATATTTCTCCCACACTTTCCCCCAGTCCCACTGCAGAGGGTTGCGGCTCCAGTGTCATCCTGGGGGACATGGTTACTTCTCGTGATTATTTATCTCCTTGTTTGGCTTGTTAGTTTAGCTGTATTACTGTGTTTTTTTTTGCACAACTTTACCCCTGTCCTCTCTTAGGACTCCCTGGACTTCATGATGTTTTTTGGTAACCAATACACGCAAAACATGTAATTATTCTGAGAGTACATTACACATGGGCTCATGGATCGGGTTAGATGTGGGCTTTCAACATTAAGCATTAGAACATTTACAAAGGCTATTTAGCGCACTTTTAAATATTTTGCATCATTCTGTTGTCTCTTTGTTGTGGTGTTTCAAAACTCACAAAGGTTTTGTTCCTATCATGATTGTAACATGGCCAACACGTGCAAAATTTAATATTTTTGCAAGGCACTGTAAAATTCAAAGCTGTGGGAATTTAACGCTGCAGAAATGTGCTCACATCCTCATTGAACGTACTGACAGAAAGAGCACAATACAACGTGATGGGGTTTCAGAGCGAACACAAAAGATCGGGTCAGCAAAAATAAAACATGTACAGGCAGGTAATCTGAACACTGATGGTAAGATGTAATTCGATACTACCTTTGCGATGAATGAAAATGTACAAACAAGCTCTGTTTTTTTACTCTTGTTTTACTATTTCTATATAATTTTGCAGGAGAACAAGATTAGATGCCAAACTTTTTCTGTCCATCTTGCACAAACAAAACCTTCCTTTTTTAAATTAAATCTGGGATCCTTTTTTAACGTTTGCATGTCTTGTAGATGTTATAAACAAATCAAACCACATCACGCTGTAATCTAGGAATACAGTGTGAGTCACTATTTGACAGTTTGGGCTGAGAGCTGATGCATGTTGAAACTAGTCAAGAAACTATTTTTTTGTTTGTGATTATTATTATTGTTATTCTGGTTTAGAAACTGGATAGACCCAGGGCTGGACTGGCCATTGGGCGTACCGGGCAATGCCCGAAGGGCCGATGCCCATATTTGGGCCGGTCTGTTTGTCTCATACAAAAAATGTTTGTGAAAAGTGTAAATCCGTTGAGAAATGTTTGAGGGTAGCGCGCGTGTCCGCGGGGCACCTGCTGTTCGTACTCAAACGGGATTCCACCACCTAAGCGGCTGCAGTGTTCCGGCATCCAGCGGCTCTGAGCTGGACGCGGGAACCGCTCACAACACAACACGGTGAGCGCGTAGCCACAACGTGACCATGTACCCAAGACCATAAACGCGAACAGGACCATGCATGTCTTTGCGTAATTTGTGCACCCAACAAATACACCGCTGCAGGAAAAAGTCCGCGTCTCCCCTCTCCTCTCGAAGTGCGACTAAATTAAAGCTCGGGTACCTAAATCTTCCATTGCATTAAAAGTTCATGTTTGAGCCCAAAAGTAAAATGTTGTGAACAAATTAAACAGATTTAGAGCCAGCCAATGGCTGACATTATGCATTTCAGACTTTTTTGACCAATTCTCATCCCTGTAACAAACAACAGTGTTGTCTGTGCCCACCTCCCTCACTCTGAGACATGTTTATTACTCTCTTGTAATGTAGACTATTGCACTTTATTTTTTTGTTGAAACTACAGACATCCTGATCCTCTACAGTATGCTTCCACATACTGTATGAACCAGGGGTCGGCAACCTTTAGTGCTCCTCCAGTGGCTCCTGGAGCCTTTTCAAAAATGTCTGAAAATGGAGTGGGAGGGCTATATTTTATTCCTAGTTTGAATGTGGTTTCTGTGAGAGGAAAAACATTCCTAACGTATTTCAATGCTGTAAAAATGTGTATAAGTAACATTCAATTTCAACATTTCTGTCAACGTAGTGAGTCATATCCTGTGACCCAGCCCCGCGCCAGGCGGCTGCTGCTGTAAACAAACCGGCGTGTGCGCACGGATCCCAAAGATAAAAAGAGAAAGAGTCGATAATAAGACTGGACTAAGGACAAGACTGAACATTTGCTTTCAGTCAATGAGGAAGGACTGCTTCATGTTTGCGATGAAGTTTTGTTGCAACACGAGGAACAATGAAGCACTAAACACCGTTCACAGGGATTACGTGAAGGATTCTTTCATACAAAATCCGGAGCACCTTTTTCAGACTTCAAAAACCTCCGCAAAGACTGTGAAAGAAAAGGCCATTAAGGACATTCAGCTCCAGCAAACTTCAGCCTGTGACGTAATCGATATGAGTGGACAGTGCAGGTGTGTGACCTTTGAGCCAAAAAGCAGATTTATTTACTGTATTTCTACAGTTGCATGAAGGCAAATAAATGGAAGTCAAAGTTAAAGCAGAGTCATTCTCTCCAGGACACGCTGCAGTGAAAACACACATTTGATAATCATGAATGCTTATTATGTATTTGTAGCCTTTACTTGGTCATTTAGATATTAGGCTAATGTAGCTACATTGTGTAACCTTCATATAAGCTTTATACAAGGCTGTTATTTTTTTGCGGCTCCAGACAGATGTTTTTAGTTTTTTTGTCAAATATGGCTCTGAACCTTTTGAGTTGCCGATCCCTGGTATAAACAAACTGTAAAAAAGTGACAAAAACATGCCTGGGCCGGTAAGAAGGAAAAAATGCCCGGGCCGTTTTTCTGTCCCAGTCCAGCCCTGGATAGACCCCCTGAATATTTCTGTCTACTTTTGTTTGAAAGATTTAGTATCAACTCAAACATGCATTTCAAATTTGATTCGTTTGCATCTGCATTCAAAACATCTGTATCAGTTTTCTCAAGAATGTCCAGATTATGACTCCAAATGTCATGAATCTTGTCTAACATGACATAAGGACTCTCACTTGCGTACATAAAGGTTCATGAAGAGCGAGTAGGGCTGTGGTTTTGTGGGTGTGTCTTAAGTACAGCCTTGGCATTGGTCCAGTCCCAAGCCCATCATCATCACTGTATAAAGGGCAGCCCAAGTCCTCCCAGCACAAAAACTTCATCCATCCTCCCTGCAACCACCCGACTCTCCTTCAACCAAAGAAAATAAAAGATCAAAAAATGGGTGTGCATAAGGTTTACTTGGAGAAACTCGCACTCTTCTTCCAGATTCGTAACCTGTTGTTCCGACAGGCTCTGGCCGAGTGTCTGGGCACCCTCATCCTTGTGGTAAGTCATATAAAGTATTCCTGGGGTGGGTTCAATATTGTAGTAAGTACTTCACGTGTATAGCCACTTTCAAACCTTTTCAAAGCAGTTCTATTCATTTTTTATCTTTTGCTTTGATAAGGTTAACATTGATGGATGGTAGAAATTGTATGTCTTTGCACACTTCAAAGCAAGTAGCGTAAATCATTGATGGTAAGTAAAAAAAGTGATTTGATTTTCTTTTTTTCTCATTGTCGACATTGTTACACTTCTTTGACATTTTGTCTACTCCCAACTAAATTATCATAACCTGTCCTGTTGGCTGTCAATCCATCCTGGTAACATCCCCTTTCAAAAGCCTTTAGTTACGCACAAGAGCAAAGCAACACTGTGGGTCAGCATGTGTGTTATTATTAAGAATCTAGACATGTTATTTAACAGGGTGAAAAAGTGTATTGCTCTGATTGTTTGTGCATGTATTGTTCTCAAGTCAAGGTTTAATTAGATGTCCAGATGACTCCTTGTTGCGCCCTTGAGTACAACAATCACATTTCCAATACATGTGTAATGGGTAACCACAACACTGCACCCTGCTTTTCACATGCACATGAGTATAGAGTTTGTGATATGTCATTGATCACTCTAAGCTTAGGTGCGGCATATGAAGATGCGGCATATGAAGATGCGGCATATGAAGATGCGGCATATGAAGATGCGGCCTATGAAGATGCGGCCTATGAAGATGCGGCCTATGAAGATGTTAACCATAGCATAGAACAAAAGCATAGGCCAAATAGTGACGCAGGCATAGTTCTATTCAAAATGGTCTTAGTTATGCTCTTATCATTTGGAAAACTCACCTGGTAATTCTACACGAGTCCTAGTTTAGTTAGGTGTATTTGCTGTGTTTATATGCTTACACACACACCCATTTGTCATCTTATAACAACATGAGTATAGTATTTTGAGGAGATATTCAACAACTCCTCTCTGACAATGTTTAAAACCAGGTTAAAAACGGTTCTGTTTAGCTGTGCATACAACTGAGGGATTTTATATTTATATTTTTATCTTTCTTTTTAATGTTCTGTGATTATTTATGATTTTAATGCTTTCTTGTTTTGTTCAGCACTTTGAGTTGCCTTGTGTATGAATTGTGCTATACAAATAAACTTGCCTTGCCATTACAGCTTAATATTTGTAAGCAATTCTAGGTAATGTTCTCTTGCCTGCACGAAGTTGTTATTTTTAATCCATGGGTTTGGCCTTTTTTTCTCTCCTACCTTTAAAAGAACAGGATAATCCACCATTTGAACTGATGTAACACTGAGGACTCTGTTTGATTTAGACAGACAACAACTGCGGTAAGATAAGTGACTATTAACCGCATGTGCCACAAGATGTTCTGAGGATTCCTGAAATTGGATAATACTTTAATGTATGTTAGTGGATTTAAATGAGACCACTGTGAGGCTATTGGATCACTTTAAGCCACTAAGCACTTGCAAGAGGATATCTCTGACATTTGGCGAAATCACATCTTTCCGCATTTATTTTCACATAAAAAAAGTCCATTAAATACCAGACACATATTTGAGAAGGTCCAAAAGGATGGCTACTTAAGATTGATGTTGTATTTAGTTTTAATGGAGTGGTTTAGAATGGGCCCAATGATGCTAAAGTTGCTTGGGGCGTCTGGTCTAAAATGGATTAACCTCAACATTGAAGTCTTGTGGTGTGATGGAAAAGCATTCTCATCACTGCTTCACGACTTCCAGCCTAAGCATAGACCACACATACTTCTCTAACCAGACAGTAAAAACACACACACAGCAGATATATCCAGCTTATTTCATTCTATTTTCAAAGTTCAAGGTTCAAGGTAACTTTATTAGTGCCCATAGGTAGATTATTTTTGCAGTTCAAGAGAGAGACTTGGCATCTACACAAAAATCACATTCACACAAATAAAAACACAACAGATAAGTAAAGAAAAGAAGGTAAAAGTGGTCAAAAGGGGCTTAGTCAGGACTCCAGAGCTCATTTCTTACCCTTTATGAATATGTTTGTATTTCCAAGTAGTGACTATGGCCTGGACAATGGCACTATTTCAGATTCCAGGAAACAAGTTTCTTCTAACCTCAACGACAATGATCTCTGCAACTTCCCTTAGATTTCACCTTGACTGACAAAGAACTTTATTGTGGGCCTATTCATCAAGCCCAATTTTGTAATAAAATGTTCACATTGTGCTTTTCCTCCGCAGATGTTTGGCACGGGCGCAGTGGCACAGCAGGTGTTGAGTGGCGGTACTCATGGGATGTTTCTCACAGTCAACTTTGCCTTTGGGTTCGCTGCTACCTTAGGCATCCTGGTCTGCGGACAGATTTCAGGTAGGTCCAACATGGCCATGCACAGTGAACACTCTGTATGTGTTAAAATACATATATACATATTAAAACATCATATGCATTCATAGGTGGGCATCTTAATCCTGCTGTGACGTTTGCCCTCTGTCTACTTGGGCGAGAGCGATGGAGAAAGTTTCCCACGTTCTTCCTCTTCCAAACGATCGGTGCTTTCTTTGGCGCGGCCATTATTTTTGGCATGTACTATGGTAAGTCCTGATGAATGCAACAGCAAAATGAAAGTTGCCATTTCAGAGGAAATGGTTTTGTGATGGTTTTTTGCCTTCTTCATAGATGCTTTGTGGGACTTCCCTGGATGTTTCAACATGACTGGAACCTCGGAAACAGCTAGTATCTTTGCCACTTACCCAGGGAAACATCTGACGATAGTGAATGGGTTTTTTGACCAGGTAACAATTATGATAAGGTAATGATCAGCACAATTTTGATGAACTGTTGACTGATTTAATTTTAATGCATGGCAGGTTATCGGTACAGCCGCCCTTATAGTCTGTATATTGGCTATAGTGGATCCATACAACAATCCCATTCCACAAGGACTAGAGGCCTTCACTGTGGGCTTTGTGGTTCTGGTCATTGGACTCTCTATGGGATTTAACTCTGGTTATGCAGTCAACCCTGCCAGAGACTTTGGACCCCGTGTTTTCTCTGCAATGGCTGGTTGGGGAGGTGATGTGTTCACGTAAGTACAGCTCTTTCCTGTAAACATATCCTTGATTGTGCCAACACCTATAAAAATCAATGTGTGTTTGTCGTTACAGTTTCCGGAATGGGTGGTTCCTGGTTCCCCTGTGCGTCCCGTTTATTGGCAGTGTGGTCGGAGTAATGGTGTATCAGCTAATGGTGGGCTTCCATGTGGAGGGTGAGGTGCGAGATCGTAAAGCTGCAGCGCAAGAGAAGGAGAGAGTCCGGCTGACGAATGTGACCACCAACAATGACCACAGCAAAGAGAATAACAAGGAAATGCAGTAAACCTTGAGACAAATTGTTCTTGTGAAGGGGGAAAAGTTAAACAAAGGATTACATTAATTCTTCTATCAGTTTGCATGTCATTAAGCAGTATTCTTTTCTGTATACCAATTCGTAGGCCTATGCTTATAGCAGCGTTGTGTTTTTATTTCCACTGCTTTTCAATGTTAACTTTGAACACACAGATCTAAAGTCTAACCATTTATCAAAGACAATTTCATAAAAGCAAGGGTTTTGCTTGATTCTCATAAATGTCTCCGGTGAGTTTCTGGTTGAGGAAATGTATTTGTAGGTTGAGGGGAAATGTGTTTGTTTTTAATACGATAACGGTTTTGTATCAGACATAACAAAGATGAATCATGTTACCTGCTCTTCTACTTTCCACCTCACATCTCGTTCTCATTTCTCTGTCAGACTCGTCACATTACAGCAGGATACTAGTTTGTGACCACTGTCTGTATGTTTAAATAAATTGTTCAGCCATGTGCTCAAAGACTTTCAGCATTTCATTTTGTTCAAAGGGTGTGGTGATAACAACAATCTCTTTAGAAAGCGGTTCGTGCAAACCCGCTGGACAGTGTCAGAGTTGTTTTTGCCAAATACCTCACAGTTACAATTATCTTGTACTAGTGGATTGCAATACTTTCACCATTCCATTGTAATTCGGACTTTATGTTTATGGATATTGTGGTGCTAGAAGGTAAATCTCTTCCCATGGAGAAAATGTTTTGTGTACTCTTGGGGAGTTTGAGCAGTGTCTCTGCTGAAGAACAGCAGAGACACGTTGGCTGAGTGGTTAGCACTCTCGATTCTCAGCAAGGTCCTGGGTTCGAATCCCCTACCACTAAAAACATGTACAGTAGGTCTGGCATGCACCTCCTGTACTGGCGACCCCACTCCCTTCTCTGTGTGGAGTGAGAGACAAATGCCCACAATTGTAAACCGCTTTGTGACTCTGGTCTGTGAAAGGCGGTTAATAAAGATTACGTACTTACTTACTTAAGAAAAGCCTTGCCTCAGCATGGTGCTGCCAATGCCTTATTTGACACTGGGTATGGTGCAGTAAGGGTGATGAGCAATTTTAGCTTTGCACCATACACAATTAAAGTATATCCCAATATTTGATGTGTCCCTCATTGACATTGCAAAGTCGAAACATGAAGTGGGTTCTGTTTAGTCATGAAGGTTTTATTTATGAAGTTGAAATTTCTCTTTCAATTCACAGTTGTTTGTCACTTTGTTGTGGTCTTTCAGAAACAACAATAAATAAATGATAATAAAATGATTAAAGTGCGCAAAAGTTTACGGTTGCATTAGTACTTTTATAAGGCATTGTGCAAGGTAAGCTATACCAAAATGGTAACTTTCGTGTCCAAACACATGCAGTTAATATTCTCTGTTAATACAAGGCTCATAATATGTACATGTGGTTTCTATCCTGACATTTGCCTATGTGATAAAGTCTTCCATGGACTTTTGTGATCACTTCAAAATGTTGCATAACATTGCTTGCACAACATTGTTCATGCTCCTTATTTGTGCAGACATGTTTCAGCAGGCCACGAAACTGTATTCATTTCTTGTAACCGCTTCATTTTTCTCAAAACAAGCATGAACTTGCAGGTTCTTGATCAACAGAAATTCTAGAAAATAATACCTCTCATTCCCATCTATACCTGCAGCAAGTGGGTTTTACTATAACATCTCAGACAAAAGCCCTGAAGCACAGTTATGTATGCCAATGTGCCAATGCATATGTCTCATACAGTATGTCATGTGTTACACGTGGACAGGAACATGTACCAGGTGTGCGCAGGGGCAAAATATTTAGATGTGTCAGCATTATTTACAAGTATTGTAACAATAAAAAAACATAAACAAATAATTGAACTTCATATATCTTGTTCTAGAATGACTGTTGTAAACCTAATAAATAGTTTCTCAATGTTGGTTCCAGATGCCACACACTTTTATCATCAAGTTCATTCTTTCGCAGCACCGGAGGCCAACGCTTGCACCATGTGTTGGCCATGTGTGCATACTGTAGGTGTCCAAATGCCCAAAAAATAACAATTGTAAACCGCTTTGTGGCTCTGGTGTGTGAAAGGCGGTATATAAATAAAGCTTACTTACTTACTTTCTACTACTAGGTGTCCCTTTTACTCACAGACTTTGAATTTATACAAATTCTATGCCAACCAACAATAAACCAATAAATTCAAGAGCCTCAGGAAAATAGCATAAATCTTACTCAAAGCAAAACATGAGTAGGAATTTTTGAAATACCAAAGAAGCCTGCACATATAAAAGCCTATACAGCTATGGTTTCATCACATGGGACACTGCAATGACATATATTCATTTCCTGAAGACTTATGATAACAAAGCAACAATATCCACAATATCCTTCAGGGAGAGAAAAATACTGAAGAGGCTCAAGTCAGGCCCATTCAGACCCCATCTGTTGTTTTGAAACTATCTTTTACTTCAGTTGTAGCCTAGATTCATTCAACAACATTAAGAAAGGGAATCTCTCTTATAGTGGCTCAGTGTTTACTCTGGATCTTATGTAAAAAGTTCTGTCACATTGGTAGTATTTACTAGAACGTCATATTGTCAGAGCTTGAACATGATACAAAGAGAAGGGCAATAATGTGCAATGTAAGAATCTACAAATACAGTGCCTCAATGACATTATCACCTGTACATAGTGTAAGTGTACTTAGTTTTAGTGCAGAATAAAGGCTATTAGCTAAAATCCTATCACTCAGCCAAAACTATGTACGATTTGATGTTATCAGCCAGATAGATTGATACATATGCACAGTATCATATGTCAACACAGACATTCATCAACATAACAGACACAGATAAACGAGTACAAGCTTATACTATCCCTATCCCCTCTCAAACAACACATTACAAATAGTACAAAACAATATAGCTCTAAGCCGAATAACACACATACAGGGTCAAACACCTTATTACTGAGAGACTACGGTTTATTATTTATAATCTTAGTGATAGTTATTAATTACTGAATGATATGAGGCAACCCGTCTGTGCCATCAGCCCAGACTTTCACTGACCATCATTCTCTCAAACATCAGACTTGGAGATGTGGGAGAAGTTTCTTGCCTAAGGTCACAATGGGCCATTAGGTCTATGCACATTACATCAAGCTAGGCAGTGATGTTGATGTTCTAATTTTATTGTTGAAGTTGAATACTGCATGACAGTTCGGCACCTGTCAAGACAGAGGCCTCCAGAGGCCTCTCTTTTTTAGGAGATTTGTTTTTTTCTTGATCCAAGATAGATTTCTCTTTGAAGATAAAATGTTATTGTAAATCTCTTTGAAATATGTGCATTCAAAGTCAACCAAATACAAAATAGTATCTTCACAATATCGCTGCAAATAGATTATTATCGAGTACAATAGTGTGTCAAACCAGATTGATTGCGTGCCGAGTAAGTGCAACACACCCATTTTATTGGAAGAAGTCTAAACCCTCCCAAATCACTTGTAAAGACATGCATGAAATATTAGTACTGTTTCTAGGAATTAATGCAACAACATATGCAGGTTCTCAGTTGTAGGGTTGTGAAAGGGAAGACTGAAGGGGTTAAAATTGTGTGCGTATGAAGAGTGCAACACACCCATGTTATTGAAAGGAGTCTAAACCCTCCCAAATCACTTGTAAAGACATGCATGAAATATCAGTACTGTTTCTAGGAATTAATGCAACAACATATGCAGGTTCTCAGTTGTAGGGTTGTGAAAGGGAGCACTGAAGGGGTTAAAATTCCACCTTTTCTCTTTAAATGTTTATTGTATAGTAGGATGCAATTAGGGAGGATAATGAGGGGCTTTCAGCTCAATCTAAATACTAGCAATCATGACATGTGTGTTCGCAGTACTATATACAGGATTGAAGGTTTTGGCAAAAGACAAAAACAAGTCAAATCCAACTATATTTTTTGTTGTATGGTCCAAATAGCTTTTGTGTGTGTCTTGCTCTCAGTATACATGCTGTCAGAAGTACAACACAAACATGAACTGCGATATTATTTTAGTTATTTCTTTGTCTTGCTCAGATTTTTGAAGTTAGGTCAAATTATATACAGCAGCCTCCCCCCAAAAAACAATCAACACCTCCTTCAGCTGCTGTAAACAAACTCATGCTGGGAAGTTTCCGCGGAATGAGCAGAACCTCCATCAAGTCCACCATTAACTCAACATGCAGGTGATTAGAACATTCCTGCAGCCAGTGTTGGGGAAAAGCATACATGACATGACAGGACATATAGATGGACCTATGAGAATAATAAATAATAATTAGAATCTTACGTTGAAGTATCATGTAAGTAGCAAATCATTGCATTTATTTCTCCCAGTACAAAATACAACTATAGAACAATATGTAAAAAGAACCCAAAAGTAGTAAGTAACATTGTGTATATACTTATATTATCAGATTAATTATACTAAACTACAATTCATTAGTGCTATTTGTTCCACATGGGGAAATATCAGTGTTGCAACGCTTAGGACAAGTACAGTTGGGATACTAGTATACTATGCAGGAAAGCATTAACAACTTACAAGTTTAAAGCAAGTCTGTCAGGCACATAATCAATTCTATTGAGGAATTGCTAAAACATATTTTAGTAAATGTATCCTAAAATAGAAAAAACAATAGCATAAATGAGTGTAACAAAAGTACTTGGTACAAAGTACTGCATCATTTGTTTCATGTAATAACATATTTGACCTTCTGCCTTCATGTCAGACCAGAGCAGGCCCTCAGGCCTCATACAGAGGAGTGACGGTGCCGTCCTTCCATTCGATCAGGATTTCTCCTCTCTGCAGAGTAGGGCTGGACTGGGGCAGACGCATGGCATGTTCGGTCAGGGGGGCTCTCTCACTGGGTATTGGGGACCCAGGGACTCTCATTTCCTGCCTTGGTGAATATGACTTCAAAACACACACCACCTTTTTCCTTCTGAGTGGAGATATTGAATGCCACAGTTAGTCATCCATCTGTATACTGCATACATATATCGTACCTAAATGTACCTGTTTGAGTACACATTAAGGATCAGGATAATAGTTCCCAAGACCAAAGCCAAGGAGCTTAATACAAGCATTGTAATCTTCCAGCCCATACCTGAAAATATAGAATAAAATGGGAGAATACTTTGAAAACACATTTAGTAACAAAATAGTGATTACTATAAAAATAGGGACTTTTTTTTCCACATTCAGTAAAAAGTCCAACTGGTTTGCATAATATTATAGTGTAATAATGTAGTGTAGGATTAAAACAGTTTTTTTTGTAATTGTAATTTTACTTTTTGTTTTAATTAAAACAAATCCTGAAATGCAAATTTATTCTGAAAACAGTTCATCCCAATATGGATTCTCAGTACTTGTATTTAGTTACTCCCTGACACTGTTTACAAATAATCTTTTTGGTAAACATTAGTGAAGACAACTTAAAAATGAAACACAGCTCCACCTAGTGCTCCATAAGTGCTCCTACATGACCTCATGCACGAACACATTTACACAAATGTATATCACTGGTTTAGGTTTAAAACGATTATTAAACTCATCATATGTGTGATATCTGAACTGTTACAACTGACATAGTCATAGTACATATTTCAAATATAAATTATATATATATATATATATATATATATATTTTAAAAACAATGTTTTCTTTTTTTTTTCAACATACCGTAGTCCATATTGAAGAATACCATTGTGGGGTCTGCAGATTTAGTGTTTATTAATGGAAGAGACACATTATTGATGGCATATGACTCTGTGGTCTCAGAATCTTTTCTTAAACCTTCATCTGTTACAAAGAAAAAGTTAATTATTGCTAATGTTTAACTTTTAACTAAAAGTAAACACTAAATGTGAATGGAATGAAAAGGCTGTGCGATCAAACAAACTACAGATATTACAGAATGTACAATATTAATCCATTATTCTTACATAACGGTGTTTGTCCATCCACTGCAAGTATGTCAGGTTCGACTGGTTTTCCAGGATACAGAATAAATGTTTTGCTCACTCTCTCCTCACATAATGTCTGGTTATCCATGGCTTTCCACCTGCTGCCCTGTATGTAACAAGAATGAAGCCCGATCATCCCTTTTTAACATCATCCACGTGTGCATTCTATTCTTAAATTGTTTATACATTCTATATATGTACAGTTCCAGTATTTTAGCATATTTTGGAAGGGCGAACCCGCTCCCATCTCTGTGAGAGATTCCCACAACAATAGTCAAGTGCTTAATGACTCTGGTCTGTGAAAGGCGTTATATAAATAAAGATTAATGGCTTACTTATATTTATGTAGGGTAAGAAAGTTAGGTTGCCCAGCTTTAATCCCAAATCTTAAGGATCTTAAAGAAAATGGTTATTTATGTGATTATCTTAATGATTCATGAACTACTGTGTCTAAGTGTTTTTCCCTGTGTGTGAATAGCCTATATACACATTCCTCAACTGTGGTGGAGGCGGGCCGCTTTTTGCTTGGGTTAATCTAAATGTTTTTTTTCTGGATGTTCGCCCTTAAACTTTACATTTAAATTGGAAACAAGCATATAACTTCACTAAGCTAAATTACAAGTTATATGTGTGAAAAGGCGAGGCTTCACACTGAAGTAAAAAAACTTCTGAATCAATATAATTCCAGAATGTACATGTGTTAAACCAAACTGAGGCAATTCAAGAAATGCAATAACACATCTGTGAGGAGTAAACCTTTTAAATACTAAATCTAAACCACACATTTTCCCACATAAAGCTTATTTTCATACTTTAGAAAGTTGTGCTTACTTGTTTGTGTTCTCTGGAAGTAAAAACCAAAGATGATTCCGGATTGCCACTGAGATGCAGCCCTTTCCCAGTCAAAGTAAGGAGGCCTTTTTTGGAGCAGGACCAGGACTGTCTCCTCATTACTTCTTCCTCGTACTCTTCAGATGGCACAGAGATCACACAGGGCAGGAGCTGGACGCCCTCATAGAGCTGGCTGGCTGCAGTGAGACACAGAGCAGAGAACTGACTCTGCAGAGCATGGTTCTCCTGAAGCCAGCGCCACAGCTGAGAGGCCTCATGGAGACTGCAGTCCCCAAGTGACACTCTCCCATCGGACTCTCCCTGCAGGCACTTCCCCAACAACTTGTTCTTGATCCTCAGACTTACAGAGGTGCCTAGGCAAAAAGATCACACAAGGTGTCAAGTATATTTGTATAGAACGTTTACAAAGATAAAAGGTGCACTTTATTAATCAATCAATCAATTTTTATTTATAGAGCCCTTTACAACACTCAAGACGACCAAAGTGCTTTACAATAAAATCACATTGAATCCATTAAAACATTCATGCAATAAAAAAAAGAAGTTAAAAAGCATTTAAAGAGGTGCCACCGGGCTAATGAGTGTTATAAGTGTTAAAAGCCAGTCTGAATTAATAGTTTTGAACCTCGATTTAAAAAGGCCAAAATTAGTGAGCACTCGCATATGAGGGGTCAGCTTCCAGAGTCTGGGTCCAGCGACTGAGAAGGACCAATCATCCCCGTAGGATGATCATCCTCTGCATTTGACCCATCCTGATGTCACCAGGGCGTCTATCAGGGGCAGCAACAAGCAGTGCCAACGGGCTTCACACAGGAGAAACACTTACCGTTTCAATACATTAGACACACATATATTAAAAGGAGCTGTTATGCTGTAAATATAAGAAAACAAGCATGTGCAACACAAGCTAAACGTTAAATTGTTTAGCTATCAATCTGTAATGCTAATCTTACAGAATTGTATCACATAGAAGGCAATTCAAAAGCCAAATTGTTGTTGTTTTTAAAATTCTCACTCATTGACTGCCATTGACGTGTTAACACGTCAAACTAAATAGTAACGTTGTCTGCCAATGACGTGTTAACACGTCAATTGCGTTTCCCGCTATTTTTACGTTCCCAGCTGTCCATTGAATCTAATATGTGGAGATTGGCTTGAGGCAATACTTTATGGAGCCAGCAGATGGCAGCATTGCGCTATGAATGGTTTGAACACAGCTAGATGCACTGTTTGTGGCCCTTTTTTCTCAGCTTTCTGGTGATTTCAATAAAACTTCCCTCTACTCAACTGGGGATTACAGAAGAACTAAACAAGATAGAAACAAAATTCTTTTTGCTGGTGAGAGTAGACAGCCCATTCTTTCATAATCTAGTTTTAGATTTCAGATAGTCAAAGTACACAATATTCTGTGGGTCTTGAAAAATCAGTAAAAACCACCAGAAACGGCTGGCAATATGGAAGTACCTGTTTTGAAATGGGCTGGCAGTCAATGAGTAAACGGTCCTAATAAAAATACTTAAATTTAAGGAGAATATGTGTGAATGTAGAAGTATAATAGGGATATATTTACATCACAGAAAGTCTGGAAGTCATTAATGAGAATTTTAATCAACAATGTGTGGTCAAAACGGATCATATTAAAAAGGTATATAGGAGGATTTTCTACTTCCGGGTAGATCATCAAGGCTATTGGTCCTCCCAATTGTCAATCATTCTGGAGATACGTGCTCGTCAAATAAGACCAGAGAGTGGAGAGGGCCGTTCTTTCCTAAAATTTGGGGAATGGAAATCCTCTTATATTCCTTTAATCTGTTTGGTTTTAGTCATTGGTGTTAAACAGAGCAAGTTGTTGAGCTAGTTTGGGGTTTCAAAGCAAAAGAACAGCATTGATTTAGGGCTATTTATTTGCAAATGTTTTATGCATTACACTAAATTCATACTTATCTCAAAGGGCATGGCAAGATACTCTCCTGCAGGCTGCTTCTGTCTAACCCACTTTGAACAGCTACAAAAAAAGCTAATCCTGCACCTTCTGGAGACTATAAAGTTTGGTCTCTCTGTAAGCATGCATTTAGTCAAACTCACCGATGCACAGGACCAGGAGCAGCGGGAGGAGCAGCGGGAGGAGCGGCAGCCTGCTCGCCATGGCTCCAGTTTGCACGGTTGTGGTTGTTGCATCTTTTCAGAGACAGACAAGTGTCAGGGGGCGTGGCTAGTCTCTTCCCCCCCCGGCAGAAGAGTACAGAAGTATCCGGGGGCCCCAGAACTGACCAAAGACTGCAGTGGTACACAGGGACCAGCAACAGGATCACTTATGGCAGTGTTTCCCAACCTTTTGAAGCGTGGCACATGTTTTTTTTTTTCTATTTAAAACAATTTAAGGCCACACCAACTGAATCTGAAAATCTACAGCCTTCACTGACAATTCAAAGTCAATTATGTGTTGTATAGTATAGAATATATATCTAACACATAAATGTCTTTCATTATTTTATTTTCACATTATTTGAAACAATGAGGTAATATCGGATTATTTCCAAAGGCACAATCTACGGCACACTGGTTGACAAACATGGACCTATGATACTGTATGTGGCAATATATGGATGAATGTGAGCACGTACCCACTTATCTTTCAAGAAAACCCAGCGAGAGGTTTTTATGAAGTCAAATTTTTACTTATTTCAGTATTCAACTTAAAATGTGAAACTAATATATGATAAAGACTCACCACATGCAGATTGTCATGTTTTGTTTGTTATAATTGGGATGATTGTGGCTTACAATCTATTTTCAAAGTATTTTAAATTTCTGAGACATATTTTTTTTTTACAAGCTGTGAGCCAATTATCGATGAGCATTAATAGGTTTTCACAAATGTATATAAATCTATTATACATTCCTTTTCACGTTAGACCTTTGTACGATATTCTAATTATCCAAGTTTTCACCTATATTGTGTTTCTGCACCGTTGTAATTGTATGCTCTCGTTTTGTGGTATGTAAATGCCAAACCAAGGACAGACATTGATAACAGTAAGCCCAGGCTAAAATGAGCTCATTAAACATTCTCATTGCTATCAAATAAAACCAAAAAATAACTTATCCACTGATTCTGACATTTAATTTTCATAAGGGAAATTTCCAATTTGTACATGCATGGAATGCAGATCTAGCCCTGTGTGGGCTTGTTCACAGGTCTCTCTAAACAAGCGGTAAAACAGCTGCAGTACATCCAAAATGCTGCAGCTCGAGTCCTGACTAGAACCAGGAAGTACGACCACATTAGTCCGGTCCTCAGGTCTCTGCACTGGCTTCCTGTGGCTCAGAGAATAGATTTTAAAGTAGCTTTACTTGTGTACAAGTCTCTCCATTGCCTCGCACCAGGGTACATCCGCGACATGTTGGTGCCATATGAACCAACTCGGGCTCTGAGGAGCACAGGGACTGGACTTCTGTTAGTGCCAAGAGTCGGAACTAGACATGGGGAGGCTGCGTTTCAGATTCATGCAGCTAGAGTCTGGAACCGTCTTCCCGAGAGTGTGAGACAGGCGTCTACTCTAGCAGTTTTTAAAACTGAACTGAAAACAGTTCTTTTTAGCTGTGCATACAAGTGAATGATTTTACATTTGTTTTTATCTTTAATCTTTTTAATGCGCTATGATTATTTATGATTATTTATGATTGTAATCCCTTGTGTGATTTTAATTTTTTACGGTTTTTAACTACTTGTGTGATTTTATATATCTTGTGCTCTTAATCTGTCTTTTTATGTTTACTTAAATTCTAATGTTTGATGATTTATGCATGATGTTATATGGGTTGTGAGGCGCTTTGCGTTGCCTTGTGTAGGAAAGGCGCTCTATAAATAAACGTTGATTGATTGATCTATATCAAATTAATCTGAATCAATATCATATTAACAACACCCATGTGTTTCTTAAAAAGAGGCTGAAGATATTTCTTAAGTCAAGGAATGCAAGGAAGTAACCCACTGCTTGGACTACCAATTAGACGTGAAGATCATAAATCTGTTAAAGGCTCTTTTCATTCTGCAAACTTGAATGGTGCATAGTTGCCCTGTACTGTGAGATATGGGACAGCTTTTACTGCCCAACCGAACACGAGGTGTTTTCCTGTGTAATGATGCACACAGAAGAATGTGACATGACTTGTGTTGGCCAAACTAAAAACATCAAAAGGACAAAATGTTTAAGCTGTTTGTATACACTTTTGATTAACAATAACTTCACGTGATATGAGTTAAATTGCAAGAGACGTATGAGCAACATGCAAGCTCGATAAAAATGAATAAATACATACAATCATGCATAGTAGGCAGTGAGCAGTGGCTGTAGCTTTGGGTTGACATAACATGCAATAAACTTCTAATTACAGACAATATATAAATGTAGCACATTTTTCCCTGACTCTCTTACACTGGAAGATATGATCTGTTCAATTGTTTTTTTGCTGATAGAAACAAAATACATGTCTGTGTTTCAAGTAAAAAAATTTAAGGTGCATCTATCCAGAAATGTTTGAAATATAAAATCAGATTATCATCAAGGACAAAAAAGACAACATGAAGTATAAAATAACCTTTTGTGGGCAGTTGTGTCAGGGTATCGAAGGCTTTTAGGATGTAACACTTAAATCTGTGTTTTTTCCTCCATGTCTTTTCCACTGTGTGGATTTGGGTACACAGACATGTAAGATGGCGGTGCCTGAGGGTTCATTGAGTACTGGGACGGAGGAAAAGGCATTACAGGCGCTGTGGGATACCCATATGGACCAGGCTGCAGAGGCATCTGACTATTGTAGCCTGGTACAGGATTATAGCCTGCTGGACACATTGGGTATTGATTAGGAGCTGGTGCGGGGTAGTCATTTGGTGGGCCTACGGGATAAGGACCAGAGAAAAAAGGAGGGAAATCACTGGAGCTTGGGCCCCCAATTGGCCCATGGGCATTTTGGTAACCATGGTGGCCATTGAGATCTGGAGAAGCAATAATCAAAGGAAGCGACACTTCAGGGTCAAGTCCAAAGCTGATGTCCAAATATGTCTGAAAAAAAAAACATAAAATATAATTAAAGGTTAAGAAAGAGTAATACTCTTTATTGTCTCTGTTGTTACATTTGTTCTGTATTCGACCCGTCCTTCCAATCTCACTGGGGAAGCCCGTCAGGAGCAGTAGTCTGGGAGATATTTACATCTATGGCAAAACAAGCTACATTCAAAAACCACCACCCTCACAGTCTAAAATGATCTCCAGTTAGCCACCCTCAACTCCATAGTTCTCTAAATGTCATTTTTGTAAAATGTTGTTTTACAACACTATACAAAACTGTTTGAGTTGTAACATCACAATCCCTTACTCATGGCAGAGTCTGTGCATACAGCATATCAATAGAATAACTAAAACCATAGTCAATTAAAGAAAACACTTTGCACATCAATTAATGTTCTCAGCTCAAGTTACAGCCCAAAAACACAAAACTACCTTGAGATAGAATTCCACAGTGATGATTTCACAGTTGTGGATGCTGAGCTTTGAGTCTGCAGGAATTGCGATAGCACAGGACACATCACCCTCAAAGTCAGGTTCAATTGTCTCTCCTGCGATTTTGCACACTGTTCCATTTTCGATCTTTGCATGGTGGTAGGCACGATACACCGTTTTACTATATATACTGTACTTGATCCGCATTTTCTTGGAGGATTGGTTCTTGATTTTGGCCGTAACATGTACAGTGTCTCCTGTGATCAAAAATGAACAGACATCAGAATACAGAACATGCTGGATCATCCTGAAAAGGATGTTTCAACAATAAACGGTAATATCAACGGTCGAGTCTCTGTAAATACCTGGGGAGTAAACCTGTTTGTCCACAGTTGCACTCAAATGGACTTTCCCTTTAGAGAAGGTCCCCACCTTTTTATCCACAGATCCAGACTGGTGAGACTATAGTGGAAGACAAAAACACACATGTTTACCTTACCTGAATACCAGAAACTTGCTTTGCCAGATAGTTTACCTTGTTTAACTCATCTCAAAGAAAAGCATATAGAAATAAAATATATCTAGAATTATTTGTTTTTATCTGATATCACAAACTAAAGACTTTTATAAAGCCTATATAAAATGTACAGCTACAAATAGGTTGTACTACTTCTACTAGTGAAGAAATACTACTTAAAGTTAGCAAACCTGCTGGCCAAGTTTATTGCAACACAATTTTCAGCAGCAGCATTGCCTACTTGTAAGTAGAGGCAACTCTCCATTCCTTTTTACATCATTTTAAAATTGGGGTTAATGAATGAGGTTAGGTAATTTAGAGTGAAGAAGGACATAGTAAATGTATGAGTAGAAAGAATAAAATCCAGCCCCACACAGTCCAGCGCTGCAGTAGATGTAGGTTGTACAATGCCTTGCGAAAGTATTCGGCCCCCTTGAACCTTTCAACATTTCAGGTTTCAAACATAAAGATATAAAAAATTAATTTTTTTGTCATGAATCAACAACAAGTGGGACACAATCGTGAAGTGGAACGAAATTCATTGGATAATTTAAAAAAAAACTGAAAAGTGGGGCGTGCAATATTATTCGGCCCCTTTACTTTCAGTGCAGCAAACTCAGTCCAGAAGTTCAGTGAGGATCTTTGAATGATCCAATGTTGTCCTAAATGACTGATGATGATAAATAGAATGCACCTGTGTGTAATCAAGTCTCCGTATAAATGCACCTGCTCTTTGATAGTCTCAGGGTTCTGTTTAAAGTGCAGAGAGAACCATGAAGACAAAGGAACACACCAGGCAGGTCCGAGATACTGTTGTGGAGAAGTTTAAAGCCGGATTTGGATACAAAAAGATTTACCAAGCTTTAAACATCTCAAGGAGCACTGTGCAAGCAATTATATTGAACTGGAAGGAGTATCAGACCACTGCAAATCTACCAAGACCCGGCCGTCCCTCCAAACTTTCATCTCAAACAAGGAGAAGACTGATCAGAGATGCAGCCAAGAGGCCCATGATCACTCTGGATGAATATAACTCTGCATATAACTACAGCTGAGGTGGGAGAGTCTGTCCATAGGACAACAATCAGTCGTGCACTGCACAAATGTGGCCTTTATGGAAGAGTGGCAAGAAGAAAGCCATTTCTCAAAGATATCCATAAAAAGTCTTGTTTAAAGTTTGCCACAAGCCACCTGGGAGACACACCAAACATGTGGAAGAAGGTGCTCTGGTCAGATGAAACCAAAATCGAACTTTTTGGCCACAATGCAAAACGATATGTTTGGCGTAAAAGCAACACAGCTCATCACCCTGAACACACCATCCCCACTGTCAAACATGGTGGTGGCAGCATCATGGTTTGGGCCTGCTTTTCTTCAGCAGGGACAGGGAAGATGGCTAAAATTGATGGGAAGATGGATGGAGCCAAATACAGGACCATTCTGGAAGAAAACCTGTTGGAGTCTGCAAAAGACCTGAGACTGAGACGGAGATTTATCTTCCAACAGGACAATGATCCAAAACATAAAGCCAAATCTACAATGGAATGGTTCACAAATAGACGTATCCAGGTGTTAGAATGGCCAAGTCAAAGTCCAGACCTGAATCCAATCGAGAATCTGTGGAAAGAGCTGAAGACTGCTGTTCAAACGCTCTCCATCCAACCTCACTGAGCTCGAGCTATTTTGCAAGGAAGAATGGGAAAGAATTCCAGTCTCTCGATGTGCAAAACTGATAGAGACATACCCCAAGCGACTTGCAGCTGTAATTGCAGCAAAAGGTGGCGTTTTTGTTGAAAGGTTCGCAAGGCACTGTATTCAAATGGTCAAGTGTTGTTATCACATTACCTGTACAGCGGGCAAATACATTCTGGATACAAAATTTAGTAGGTGTTGGTCTGAAGTAGACGTATGCCAGCTTCTTTTCAGCTTCGCCTGAAGCACATGGACAATTTTGCCATGATAACCCTGGAAGGAGGGTGGTATGTTTCTGGAAAAAAAAATGTTATTCCAGCTTCATGCCTTGGCCTAAAGCAGAATATGTTTTGAAAAAATGTCCCTCTTACCCCTCTGGTATTTTAAGTTTGAACTGATAGCGATGGTCTCCTTGTTGAAGAACAGTTTCTGCAAAATATCAGAATAGCTTTGTTATCTCCCACCTAAATGTTTTTTTGTTGTTTTGTATTTAAACTAGTCTTAAAGATGGGGTTATTCACTTTTAACCACTAAAACCAGCTGTAACTAATTCATGCATACAAAAAATAACCACACTGTGCTCAGCTGTTAACCTAAAGCGTCAATTACTGACTCACAAGGTCTTTTCCCATGTATGCAAAACATATTTCAAAAGACAGGATGAAAACTGCATATTGAGGCTGTGATCAGATTGGTCCACATTTCACTTTTCCTAGACTGTTAAGACAAACAATATGCATAGCTTATATTCAATGTAGTCGAAAATAAGAACATTAGACGAATTGGTGGTTCATTGCATTTAGACCAAACGTCCAACTCCTCTAGCTTCTTACCATCTTTAGATTCGGGAACCAAAAACTCCTTGGCTTTGTAAAACCTCAGGTGTCTGGAGTGATGAGTGTGGGCCCCGTGCTGGTGCGCCCCGTGCTGGTGCGCCCCGTGCTGGTGCTCGCTCCAGTGTACGTTGGCGTCGCCTTTAACCTTCACGTACAGGGATTTTATTTTGATCTCTTCGCTCAACGTGAAAGACAGCGAGCCATTGATTAAATCCCCCGCAGCGAAAGTGTTTTGCTTATTGACGGCTTCATATCTCAGTTTAAAATCCTTGATGGGACCCATTCTGCACCGACAACGCGCAGGACCTGTTGATGATGAAGTGAATGAGGAAGAACTTGTGATCCGGATACGCCCATAGTCAGGTGCAGCGATGGCAGCAGCCGACTCAGGTTTCAACCTCAGGGGAAAATGAAGCACGTCATAAGTCCACCTGTATAATGGTGGTTAAAAAGTGTCACAAATCCACATGTTTAATATGTGACCAGGATGTCTACTGCTGAAACACTTTGAGTCAAAACTATGATAGAGTTCATTATTTTATTAATGTGAGAATCATTTATGCTGTATGTTAGTAAATAATCTCTTTCCAAAAGATAGGTTTATTACAAAAGCACTGATGTGTTGATACAACAAAAGCTACATTCAAAATACTGACAAATGACCAACACACATACAAAGGCATCATATAGGTCACAATCAGGGCTTCAGATAATGATTATTTTAGAGAAATTATTCAATTTGATGAATTGAATAATCTATAGTAAGTAGTAGTAGTAGTAGTAAGTAATCCTTATTTATATACCGCCTTTCACAGACCAGAGTCACAAAGCGGTTTACAATTGTAATTTTTTGGGCATTTGTCCTTTCACTCCACACAGAGATGGGAGGGGCCAGTTCAGGAGGCGCATGCCAGAACTATTGGACATGTTTTTAGTGGTAGGGGAAACAGGAGTACCCAGAGGAAACATACACAGACACGGGGAGAACATGCAAACTCCACTCAGAAAGGCCCTGGTCCGGCAGGGATTCGAACCCGGATGCAATCCACTCAGCCACCGTGCCGCCTATACATGATTTTATTACCTGGACGTTAGATAAACATTATAACCTGTATGATTCTCATTTAAAATAAAATAAGGCAAATTTATTACCATCAAGACAGTGTTGGCACAGAGCAGAATATGGAGCCATAATACTACTACGAATAAAACAATATAAAAAAAACCTACAATGTAGGGCCAACTTAATCATATTCATCCTCATAATAATTAACACTTTTGAATTTCAGAGAACATTGTTCTGTGGTTTTAGACCCATTTGATTAAAAATTTACGTTGCGGCTGTTTTCCTGTCAGAGACTTTTTCAACATATGGGTCCTTTTGAATACTGTGATCTGTTATAAACCCAAACCATGCCTTACATTATATTTGCTGGGCTTCATGTAAAAACACACTGCAAATATTATTATATAGTGCGCTGTAACATCTATATGCCACAAAAGTAATAATATAATTACTTTGCACCAGGATTTGCACCATAAGACGGCGGGAAGAGGACTTCATATGATGGAGGCGCTTCAGTGGATTGAGAGAGGAAGTTTTCAGTCATCAAAGGGGCAGAAGGCATAGTTATTTCAGATGGGATTATGGAAGAGGGATAACTTGGTGGAGGAGGTTCCAGTGAATTGTAAGTTGGTGGAGCTGAAGGGAACAGAGGGTTTACTGGGCCGGGGGATGGTGGGCGGATCGCTGCTGATGTGGGTGGCGGGTGAAGAACAGAAGATGAGGTTGAGGAGGAAAATGGAGAGCCGTATGCACAGGGCTGGGGAGGAACAGGATTATGGTAGCCTCCTGCAAAAGGTGACACTGGGTACATGCTCGCAGCACCAGAAAACGTTGTTGCTGGCATTCCTGGGTATTGAGAATTTGTTGTATACAGAGAGGCCCCTGAGTGTGGATCTGGAGAAAAAGGGCCAGCAAAAGGCACTTGAGGTGGGAAGTCACTGGCGCTTGGGCCTCCAACAGCGCCACCTGCTGAATGAGGGCTGACAGAGCAAATAACCACTGGAAACACAACTGAGGGGTCAGAGGAAAAACTTATATCCAGATAACCCTGTAAACAAACCAAATATATCTTGACTGCACTGGACTTTAAGAACCAAATAAAGGATGTTGGGTTTTACCTTAATGCGGTATTCCACTGATAGTATGTCACAATCCAGTATGGACATCGGTGTATTGGAAGGAATCTTCAATGAACATCTCAGTTCTTTATGATTTTGAGGTTTAATACACTCATGTGCATCTTTATGAATCACATTTTTTTCGAACTTAGTGTTGCCACTGGCACGATACACCACATCTTGAATTAAGCTGAATTTGGGGATCACGTCTTTAGAAGAGGAATTGTTAATTTTTGCGTTTATAAAGACGGTGTCACCTAGAGAGAAAAAAAGATGCTTGATAAAACCTTCATATATAAAGGCAAAATGAGGAAAATCTCACCTGGGACATAACCTCTCTTGTCCACTGTGACATCCATCTGCACCGTTCCTTTACTGAAGACACCAACGTTCTTGTTTGTTGAGCCTGTCTGCGGAAACTACAGCACAAAGAATTTTACACCTTTTTGTATCCTCACATAATTGTAACCATATAAATACACACGATATACTCACATTCATTTGATTAAAACCAGGAAATGACTTTGACACAAAACAAAGCTCTTTTTCATCTGTAGAGTCCATCCTCCAGCTTCTACTCAGCTTGACTTCAAGTTTGTAAACAGCCTTTCCATAATTACCTCGAAAAGATGATGGCATATTTCTTTACAAAATAAACAGTAAGTATTACAACACATGTGTGGTACTCTCCACTATACATTTCAGCATACTAACAGCCATGACAAAATGCAGTAAATTCGTTAGGACAGTATCCTTACCCTAATGGTATCTGGAGGCTGAAATTGAAAATATGAATGCCAGCAGGAAGTCTGACGTCTGTAAAAGTAATACAAAATGAATTATCCAACATCATTTGAGTTATCCACTGTTATTACATGCAACAGTGTATCAGAGCCTACCATTGGCCTCTTGACTGATGAGAAAGTGCTTTTGCTTGAACAGTCTCCTATGTGCATCGTAGTTTCTGGTTTTGTCTCCATGCCTTTCAGACCAATGGACACTGACATCGCCTTTAGCTTTCACGAAGAGGCTCTCGATCTTGGTTTCCTTTTCAAGTTCCAGTGTCACTTTTCCTGTGATTGTATCCCCCTCCGAGAACGTCCCGTTATCGTTCAATGCGTCGTAAGCTATCACTAAGTTTCTCACAGAAGGCATTTTAAAAACAGATCCTCAACTACTTATCACGGTTACTTTGCCAATGTGTGCTAACTTCAGCGGACCATGGAGCGGTAGTTAGCATAGTACAGTTGCTTTGAGACCTCCAGAAACCACGCCTCTTGTGGTCCCTCAGCCTAAGCCAAGTGTGGTGTTGTGGTCTCTACTGCCACCTGCTGTGCACTGAGAGTATTGCATGTTCAAGGGGACACCTCAGCTAATGCTAATTTGCAGAAGAAAATTTGTTGGTTTCAATTATTTCGTAAAAGGAAACAATGAAAACAAATTGTAAGCCTGTCTGTGGAAACTACAGCACAAAGAATTTGACACCTTTTTGTATCCTCACATAATTGTAACCATATAAATACACACTAGTTCGGGTGTTTTTTGTCTCTTTTGTTTTATGTGGACCCTTTGTGTATCTGAATTAAAGATTACATAAATAAATAAATAAAAACGATATACTCACATGACTCACATTCATTTGATTAAAACCAGGAAATGACATTGACACAAAACTCTTTTGCGTCTGTAAAGTCCATCCACCCTTTAATCTCAGCTTGACTTCAAGTTTGTAAACAGCCTTTCCATAATTACCTCGAAAAGATGATGGCATATTTATTTACAAAATAAACAGTAAGTATTATAACGTATGTGTGGTACTCATGGATGTATTATACTGGGTAAGGTTACAATGCCGCGCATGCGCACTTCAAGTCGCCGGTGAAATTAGAATTTGGGCCTCGTGGTCATGCTCCATGTGCGGGAACATCTTCCGTCATAAGTTATTTGTAAGTTTGCTTTCCATTTGCCTTCTCTACTTTACAGACAGTTTTAGTGTAATTAATAAGAAATAAACACATCAGTGCGATATTATTTCGTTAACTTCTCGTTTTGACATCCTTAGAAAACGTATAATTTCAGGTATCACACGGTAACCCACGTTACTTGCTATCAGCATAAAGCTACAAGATTCACTCATCATTTTTTTAGATCAATAAAACATCCAACGATCCAAAGATCCAACGTTGTGTTACTATAATTCATCCACGTTACCGCCACATCAAAATATCTAAAATAGAACTATACTGTTTCCATAGTAATAGAAGGATTAACCCTGAAGAAAACAAAATGTGGATTTGATCAGTAAATCAACTGCAGTACCACACCAAACCCCAACGCCATCATTCACTCACTCCTTCACCAATTTCATGTTTTAGGTGAAGGAGGAAACTTGTAGTCCAAATCAAGTTCCAACACAAGGACAGAAAAGTCTAACCAAAGATTGAAATGTAAAGTCTTCAAACAAATGTTTTGAATTAGGCTCATACTTGATTTTATAACTTGTCCTCTTTAAAATGGTTTACGAATCATTTCCCAATCCAAAACACTTAATCATGTCAAGTCTCAAGAAATCAATAATAGTGACTAAAATCGGACTTCAAATAACACATTTTTTTAATGTTCAAAACATGACTATTCCTCCCTCTCCCTATGCCCCCCCCCCCAGAGCCATGTGTAATCACTAGCTTAATGAGCTTCTTTACAAACTGACCTAGCTCGGCTTGATCAGGACCTGAGCCAGAGGATTTGCACCTGTGGCAAAATCTACCATCTAATAGTGGATGGGAGTAAAATATCAATGAATCCCTGATTATTTGATAAGACAGCACATTGGCTGGAATAGGCCTCCAGATTGTGTTTTGATTCGTCTGCTATCTTCTTGAAGAGAGTAGGTAAACCCATATTAAATGAATTGATCCATTAATGGCAAAGGCTTAAATCACGTCCCTTGATAGAAACTCATTAATTGCACTGCTTGTGTGCTCAGTTGCTGGATAGGATGTATTGGAGAAAGGCTGCATTGGTCAAGTCCAGTCTTTATTAAGATTAATGAACAGCTTGACATTTTTAGTCCTCTGTCTGAATCAATAATTTTAATACTCATGAGGCCAATGGGGATCTGAGCTTGTGGAACACACATTGTGGCCACAGGGCACATGTTAAATGTCCAAGTGCTAATCAATGCAAAGAAATTAGCTATTGATCTCATATAGTTTTGTAATAGGTTATCTATTGGTTTGCTCTTTTAGAAAATTCCAATAACAGTTGGATGGAATTGTGTTGATATTGCGTATGGGAGTATTTGTTTAGTGCCCGCCGACCACATTTCTTTCAAATGTGTGATCTTGTAGGGCCACAAAGTAATTAGCAAATCAGGAAGATTGTAAATAAACATTTACAAAGAGATCCTGGGTTCGACTCTCAGGTGAGTTAATGACACTCTTTAATCTGTATGAACCACCTGAGTATGAATATTTATTTATAATTAAGATCCACAATCAAAGTTGATACATTGTTTCCTTAAATATCTTACAGTTTCTTGTCATCTAGACCCACCTCCCAGTGTACCCAGTGACGCTGCTTCCTGGTGGATTATGCCAGTGTGATTTGGGGACAGGTAAGCTGCCTTTTTTATTATAACTCTTATGAACTAAAAGGATCCCCATGAAGTGGGTGTGCAGATTTTGTTTGTTTCAGTCTGTCCTAAATGCTTAAATACAGTCAATCATTACGTTAAACAGTTTCCTAAAGTGAATAAATGAAATTAGAGCTGGGTACATGATTGAGCTACTCCTACGTTAAAACTTCTGCATTCGTCATTATCAAACACTTAAACACTTTGGCCCTATTTCCACTCAGCAATAATATAAATGTCAAGTTTATTTTTAACTTGACAGACATTGTGCACAGATGCAAACCATAAAGTTGTATTTATTTATGTAATAATAATTCATTATTAATTGTGCAATATTACTCCACTAAGTAATTGTATGTGCCAGTTTTCTATCACCATGGTGATAGAAAAAGGAGATACCTCTATACATTAGCTGACAGTAGTCATAAATCAGTAGCAGAGATAAGTCCTATAGATCGTCCCAACACAAGATTCTATACCAGTGTCATCATTACAGGAAAAAGGTGACGCTTGTGATTGATTAAAATGGTGTCGGCTAGCTTAGGTTAAATCATGTTAAGTGATGTGACATTGCAGTTTCACATATCATATTTCTGTCAAGACAATGATGGTGGAAAGCATTGTCAAGGCATGAGATCTGACAACAGCAGACATCAGCAGGGACCAGGCTGGATTTATGGGAACGCTTTAGTGGTCTCAGGGAGATGAGGGAGAGTAAAAAGTGCTCTTTTTTTGGACGGTGTCTCTTCCCGAGCGACTGTAAATTTTTCTCCAGTGCTGTTGGGAATTGGAGACATTTACACATGCTGACAAATTGCCTGCTGTAAAAGTATTTACTGGTCTTGTTCTCTCTTTAACTTATCACTTCAAAGACCCAAACTCAAAGTGTACCTTCTGCAAATGTATCTGAAAGGCCTCCCTGTGGTGTATCTAAACTCACATGGTGTCAGAAACCTGCATGTGTCCAATGTAAAAAGGTTACCTTTCTCCTTTTCAAACAAATTATGATCGCATTGCATCTCTGTAGTGTGAGAGCATTTGAATAGACCTTAAATAAAAGGTCCTGCCCCAAATAAGTGAACAGTGTTTGTTGTAGATTCATTTGTATATGGATTTTAAATGTTTTACACATGTTTTAATTTATTAATATGATGAAAAGAAATTGGCTGATAATATGTGGTAGTCATGTGTTACTCCTGCTAGCGAGGAGAAAACCAATCTCATGTTGCCACAGGGTGGCACTATGAGACTGTGAATGTCAAGACCAGGAGTTAGAGACTCTCTTGTGGGGGTAGGTGGGACAAGAGAGACGCACTGGCCTCTCCAACAGAGCTATAATTTACTAATAGTGCATGCCTGCCATTGTTGTTATCTTTTAATAGATTTGTATGAGGAAAAGCAGGTGTCCGTTGTTAATGTGTCCAATTGCCCAAGTTGCCTACAAAATTTGGGGCATCCATCACTGTCGCTGCAGTGACACCCTGTCGTTCTACTTCATGCAGTGGGCCAGTCGGCTAAGCCAGTAACAGATGAGGCTGCGCTCTCCTCCAGACGCCCACATTCACGCTGTTAGGTGCTGCATACATTATAAACACTCCACTCACACCTAGAGCCCATTTTAAACCTATTTCTAAGAGTTCTTTTAAAAAAATGTTCAGTAAAATAACTCAAAACTAATACAAAAGTTCTTGTAAGTGTTCATTTTAAATCTATTGTATTGAGTTAAGATTAATGTGAGAAGCAATCGTTAATACATTTTAAATGTGTTCTTAAGCAAGTATTTTAGCATTATTTAGAGACATGAAAAGTGATGCGTGCTTTAAATTCAATATGATGATCAAAGTGTCTACTTAAGCAAATGTATATTTCACTCCAGATTGTTGCTTTCTTTTTGCCTTCATGTGGAGCCATCTGTGCCCATGAACAATTCAGCGTTGCTCATGTGTTTCATTGTCTACTTTAATGTCTGTCAAGCAGAGCAATACACATAATAATTCTAAGAATGCACAGGCCATCCCTCTCTATGACAACTTCAATATTTCTGCTGCAGCACAGTCCTGAGCTCAGCTTTGGTAATAATTTGCTGTTTAGCTGTGTTGTTGTTTTTTTCTACGATTTCCCATTGGGGAAAGGTGAGGGAGCAGAAAACTGGAGGGAAATAACCTACTGGCTCTTTTCTATTGCGAACCCAACCTTTAATTTAATTGGACAGGGTGAACTCTCAGTTTTCCACTCTGTTTTTTTAAGGGTAATCACAGGACAGAACTGTTTATGCTGATGTATTATGAACTTAACACTCCCTTTATCAAGCATACCACACTTGAAATATGGGGCTTACCGCTTGTCTTCCACGTCTCCGTTGCCCCAGCCCCCTAAAAGACAAACGGTATTCAGAACAAAAGAAGGAGGGAAACCCTGCCAATTAGGCACTAATGAGACAAGCTTGTGACGATATCCAAATCCTCAACGTGTTAACATTTACAACACATCCCTCCCACCACCTCCTGCCCATTCCCAACTC